AAAAGGACAGTGAGCTTGAAGAGTTCAAAGCAGAGCACTGTTGCATACTCAATGTCAGAATATGTGTATTAAACTATAGTCGGATAGTTACAGAGGAAGTTTGGATTAAAATGTCATGTGACTAACATGTCACCTTTGCCCAAGAACAAAGGAGCCAGAGTCACATCACAAATCCAAACAAAAGGATATGAGATATCACCTCAATTATGAGATCATTGACCAGCGGAAGGTCGTGTTTTGCAAAGTTTTATTATGAGTGAGAAATCACTAAAACCCCTTCCATGGACTAAGATATGAGAGTCATATTAAAGTCTTGGATTGAAGCAAGTTATGTAATTTAAGTTGTATATGTTTTGAGAAAGCATATTACATGAGAAATGCATCAATTTGCAGAATTATGTTTAAAATAGAAATTATTATTTCTCTTATTTAATTATGGTTTTGGAAATTAAATAAAATGTCCAAAATAATTATGAATTGATGGGCTCATCAGGTTGATGACCTGGTGAATTGAAACCCCACAGGTGAACAAAATTCATACATTATTTAAAGTTCCTAGTTCGAGATCATTAACGTGGACATAAATGATTTCAATAAAAGAACTAGCATGTAAGATTGATTGGATAGCGCAGTTTCATGGGCTATAGGGGCATAGTGATGCTCAGTCAATCACTTGGATATGCATGAATGATGCATGATCGAGCTATTGACCTACTTTGAAGTTCAAGTATAGAGCTTCCGTATATATTAGTGGATTCCTTTGACATGAGTGGAACATTGATTTCATTCAATGGATGTTGTGACTGTGGTACACTCAAACGTCTAGCCGTAACTGGAGATTATAAAGGGTGTTTCCCGGTTATTTCAGAAGTTGAGTGGGAGTCATGTTACCACAAGATTGGATAGAGTCTACCTATTAAATTAGGAAATGTGTCATGGCCGCTTGAAGAGGGAGAATTCAGAAAATACGTGGCCGCGTTCAAATGCATTACACAGTAATCATTTGGTTTTATAATTCTAACTCAGATTTCAAGAAACGATTTGTAGATTAATATGATCTCGACATGTGATGCAATCATATTATCAAATCGACACATATATTGACTTAAGGAATTTGAATATTGCACCCTTGTCTCAGACAAGTGGGAGATTGAAGGAGTTATGTCTTCGTCGTGTACAATTACTAGATATATAAATGGATCAAATTATGGAGATAATTAAGTTCGTACATTTGGGTCGTCATTTTGCCATAGCTAGAGGTACTAACGATTTTTGGACTAGTAAAATAGCCCAAAGCCCAATTGGAAGGATCCTATAAGGTCACACAAAGGGGCTAGATCGAGCATTAGAGGACGAGGCCCATCACGGGCCTCATCTCTCTAGGTGGACGGCCATATGGAGTGGACAAAGAAGTTTTGGGCTTCGTGCCCTAGTCTAATTATAATGAGATTATAAATAGACTAGGTGCCTAGGTTTGCAGCAAGGAAGCAATTAACTGATCAGTGTGATCAAACCCTAATTAGAAAAAAAAAAACACGAAACCTAACCCCTCTCATAGTCCTCTCTCATACACGGCTCTTTCCTCCTCCTAGGCGCCGGTGGTGTGTCGTGGTGGTGGTGGTTCGTGCGGTGGTCGGTTGTCCATAAAGGTGGTGATCGCGGTTTTCCTCAATCACTCGACCAATCTAGTATTGGTGGACGGCTTGTTCGAATCTCGTGGACTAAGTAGAGGAGCAACGCTTGGGGCTCTATTCTCTCCCTGATTTGCCTGTCGAATAGCTTCGTGGAATTCACGCGTCAAAGGTATGATTATGTGTCTTGTGTGTTATGCATGTGATTCTTGGGATTGGTACTTGATTGAATATGATTCATGTTTTTCCGCTACGTAATACCTATAAACTCCTACATAATTATCATATGCCAAACTAGTCTATAAGTATTTGCAACCTACTGAAAAATCTCATCTGAGTCGTACCATAATTAGAGTTGTATGCCTTGTTTTACTTGTAGGGATTAGTACTCCATATAAAACGGAGAAACCGCTTAATCGCATACCCTTAAAGTTACAATTATGGATTATTAAACTTATAACTAAAAAAAACAATTTGATGCTAGAAGATCTAATTAATTAGTTTGCTATATCACACTACCAAAATTCATTAATCGCGACAACGTGACGTTACGTGAAGTATTACCTAGCTAATAAATTTTAATCGTTATAATCATTAAATTCTAGATGATCTAATTAGTTTGTTATATAATACAATTATGAATAATATATAGATATTCCAATACATAACCCCATGCATAATAGACAAGGCATTATAAATTTAAGCAATCATATGTAAGTGTTTCAGACTATTATGATGGAATTAGAAACAATCACAAATAATGGTTAATTATTCTATAGCATTAGAGGATATGAAACATGTGACTATGTCTAAGAAGAATTCATTGCTTAACTCTGAATTAGTTGTTAATTATTCTACAGAAACGATCCCTGATAAAACAAAATAAAGCCTACGTCAATACAAATACCCAAGCAGTACTACTTTAAATAATTCATTGGCAATTTACAGTAAACTATAATTGTATGCATCAAAAGTAATCCATTAAAGCATATAATATTAAAAATATGATTACACCTTAAATAGATAATTCAATGGTGTCCTTAAAAGCTTAAATTGGAGAACTCGTATTGTGAAGTATATATCATCAACCATGTTTTTAATTATAGATTCAAAAATCATAATTTAGGAGAAATAAAACAGAAATATCGGGTACCTTTTTTAGCGGGAGAATTGTAAAATTGCTAATATTAATATGGTTAAAGTCCTTCGTTCGTTTGGTTATTTGGCTATGGTGCTCATACCGTGTTAAATATAAAAGAGAATTATAGATAGAAATTTTGTTACGTTCTATATATCATTTCATCTAGTACGTGATTTATATACATGTATATTATTTAGGGTTCCATCATCGGATAAGGTTAAATACCCAACTTTAAAATGTTCAAATTGTATATAGGATAATAGTTATTCATATTTAGATATTTCATAACACATTAATTATTTAAAAAAAAAAAAACATAAATATGATAAAATTATTAAGGAAATCCTACTCTACATGATTAGATAAAAATGCACGCACGGAGCTTGTACTCGAAAGGCAACGAGAATGAATTTTGTACTTGATGCGAAATTTAAGTAGTATACGTGGTGTTTGATTATAATATTCACATTTGTAAGACGTGTGGTAAGACGTTGGGTGACATGTGATGCCACAATTCTCAGATTTGATGTCGTGATTAGGATAAAATTTCCTTCAATCACACACGACATGGGTTAACAGTGTCACGACTTGTTTGTATCCCGCAGATAATCTAACAAAGTATTAACAGATTTAATTCGGATCAACAAATATTCTGCGGCAATCAATTTTTTATGGATTATAGTAATTAAGTTATCATAACACCCCTATAAATAGCATGACTGTAATTTCTATACTAACTATAAAATTGGAAGGATACTTATCCACAACATAAACAAATTATATAAAAAAATTCATAAATTAACAAATAACGTATATTACACATATATTATTTATTTCACGCACATTGTTGACATATACTTTATATATAATTAAGAAAAATTGATAGTAATAATTCCAATTTCTCTCAACACTTCTCACACAGTACATGCCCTGAGTTATTTTAGTATATATGACGTCTATAAAATATCATATGTTGTCCCGTCTTCTGTATGAGATACCAAGTTTCCTATAAGATGATTTCAGTGTACGCATTTCATATTCAAATTAATGGATATTGAAAATTTCTTTTATTTCAACCGTCTATGGCCAAGATCTAATATGATGCATAGAAAACGTATTAAAATATTTTCCTTCATCTGCAAAAGAATCACATCGAAGTGTTGTCATGAAATAGGAAATATCCTTTTTAAACAAACAAAATTAGTACAGATGAAATGGTTAAATAAACAAAGCAAAAATAAATCCTAAAAACTCCAAAAAAAAAAAAATCATTATTAAGAACAAATCAAATTATTGTAAAAGGATTAATCCCATCCTACATCTATCGACTCTAGGCAATAACACTGATTTCATTACAACATTTTATACAACAAACAGCATATCTAACACTAAACAAAGCAAAAACTAATTACCATTATTTTGGTCTTCAAAAAAAAAAAACATTATTTTAAGAGATTTATTTATTGCTGGATATATGGTCAAACAAATAGCAGAGCTATCAAAACCCAATAGTATATAAGATTTTAAAATTGTAAACTTTCCAACTTGCTAGATATTATGAAACAAACAAATCTACAAAAAAAAAATAAAAAAATCCCACAAAAACTGAGTTTCTATAGACAAAGAGCATTTCCATAAGATCTTAAGAAGTAACATAGGTACATAAATTGGAAAAATAACTGAAAAGAGGTAAAAGGTGATGATTTAAATATTTATTTAAATTAATAAGTGGTAATTTAAAATAAATTATTTTTGGATGGTCATTTCAAAATGTGTGTATTTGGTGGGTGGGAAAATACAAAATTTCCTCCTAACAATCCTTAATAAAATGTAGGAGTAATAACTAGTGTAACCATGATTTTGTGGATGACATTGTTTAGTTGGTTTAAGTTTTGGTTCATACTTAAAATTTGATTTTAAACCCCACTTACATGGCTACATCACTACTTTTGTAGCTCTTACAACAACAACAACCAAAAAAAAAAAAAAAAAAAGAATCTACTACCTTCACCTTAGTCAAATATCCTGCATGTACTCCTGTAGAGAGTTCATAACTTTACATTTCATTTTCAGTCACTTTTTATTGTAACATACTTGAACGGTAGGCAATTTAATGTTTACTATTCTAATAAATGATGTTTCGACATTAATTAAAGAACTAATATTGTCCAAGTAATTAATAAAATTTGCATCATGAGTACCTAACTTTAATTATTAAACAATGTAATCTCCTTATTAGTACTTAAGTATATAACATTGACAAATATTTATTTGCTGTTGAATATAACAATAACAGAACTGTCTTTTTCCTGTTGCCTTCTTAATTATACTCTCATAATAATACACACCTGGAAGTTAGTTCACTTACATGCCTAAATTAGAAATTTTAGGTGACCAACATAATTATTTTGACTTCTCTTTGTAAGTAACCTCACTATAAAACTCAACTCCAATATTATTATCTGGCATTCAATCTACTCCTACTCTTAAGGATAAAAACATACAACAAAGGAAAAAAAAAAAAAACTTTGTTTCAGTAGTTTTATACACACAAAAATGGCTTCTTCACTAGTCGCGATGGTGCTAGTCATGAGCATGTTATCGGGTGGAGCTTTGGCTCAGTCAGGGTGCACATCTGCAATAGTGGGATTAGCCCCATGTCTTAATTATATCTCAGGAAGCTCTTCTACCCCATCCTCTTCATGCTGTTCGCAACTATCTAGTGTTGTTAAATCACAACCTCAGTGCCTTTGTCAAGTGCTTAATGGCGGTGCCTCCAACTTTGGAGTCACCATCAATCAGACCCAGGCTCTAGCCCTCCCAACCGCCTGCAACGTTCAAACTCCTCCTGTTAGCAAGTGCAATGGTAAGCATCATCTCTTCCTTTTCTGCTGGTGAAGTTGATAAAAGTTTGCACCCGAAATTAAGGGTCTTAACTTATAAGTGTGCATAATATATGATTAAACTTTATGTATTATGAATATTAACAAAGATATTGTATGATATATGTTGCAGCTGCAAACCAGCCATCATCAGGAGGAACCTCTGCAGCATCCCCTGTTGGTTCCCCAACAGCTTCGCCTGCTGATGCCTCGACACCAGAGGGTTCAGTCAATCCTGATGACTCTCCAACATCGCCAACAGTCTCTAGCACTCCTTCAGCTGGTACTCCAAAGCTTATTTATGTGCATCTTCACATTTTATTTCTTGCTAAGTTAATGAAAATATCCTTTAATAATTGATATATGATTGCAGGAGCTGGATCGAAATCAACTACAGGAAGTACATCAAACGGGAACAAGACCAAATTTTCATTTCATTTCACCCTCTTCCTTCTCTTCATTACTTCAAGCGTTTCTGCTATCATTGCAGTTTGAAATAAGAATACTCCATAATGCTAAAGATATTGAAAGGTTTCGGTTTTGATCAATATGTTCATTTGATCTATAACATTATACTCCATAGATGATTACTTTTGTATAATCATATACTTCTTGTATCATTTACTCCTACTTAATAATAATTCTTTTGTACGAAAAACATTGTTATTATTAGATCCGAGTTTTGTTACAATTCTACAAGTAGACATGTATAAAGTTGCATGCAGTCTATCAAAGTAAATGAACACTTGAAAAAAGGGCTAACTTATTACACATTTAGAAAGTATCATGAAGAGAAAAAAAGGACTTAAAGAGTTACAAGTAGGCAAGTAATAAAATCTAAAAGAAGGGGTTAATTAAAGGTTGTAAGCTTGTAAAAGAAAGAAGAAGAGTGTACACAATTTTATAGCTAATTAAGGTGTTAAGTGTGTTGATCATAAACCCTATGAGTTTCTTTCTAAAACAAATTACTGCATCACATAAGGTGTAAGTGTGTTATGCATGTTACCATGATCAAATGTAAAATGATGCATAGTTTTGTAGGAAACAATACTTTTGCCTTAAATAAGGAGTAAACTGCGTATTAATTTGTGAGCAACTTACCACAGACTATTGTGAAATTATCCCTATTGCATATAAGCCATATACAAATATTATTGCACACGTAATCACGTGTAATATGTTCCACACCCATGGCCTATACCATGGGCAAGATGCAATCTGCAAAACACCACAGGCACCTGTGCCATGTTATAGGTGTGTAAAGCAAGCGCCTATGCCATAGTTTAGGCATGTAAAGCAAGTGCCTCAACGTTAAAAACATACTACATATATATTACCTGTCGTGCCAACGACAAATGTTCATCATCACCCAGACCCACAGCATAGCCTCCCTGAGATGTACACAAATCGTCATCACCAAAATTGCATCCATAGTACCAACTGAAAAGTTGGGTTGTTTGCAGGAAATTATGTTGGCATTTGGCATGACAGAGGCAACTAAATATGGCGTTAAGAGTAATGCTTTGGTTGCAAATAGCAATTCACTTAAAAATACAAAATAATACTCCGTTGGTTTAACATATTCAACAAGTTGACTTTATTATACATTCATTAAAAATAAAATCAACTTGCATGTATTAAGAAACTGAAAAAGTAACAAGTTACATTGGAGATTCACAAAGTACATGCCAGTGATGCCGCTACTTGATACTATTCAATATGGAGTATAAATGACTCTTATCATAATTTTCAAACAAAACTAAGCATAAAATAGATGGAAGACAATTCAATAAACACTCGTTAAGGAAATTAATTAAACCACTATGAATTAAAATAAATTAAACCACTTAGAGATTTAATGGTTGAAAATTTTATAGCCTAAAGCACACGAGTTCATGAAATTTCAAATCACACGGTGCTCAATTATTAGCCAAAAACAAGGTGCTCAATTATTAACAAAAACTCTCAATTGAGAACTCTTCGCTGTCTGAAAGAGGTAGAGGAGAGCAAGAAAGGACAAAACTGATTTCAATCCAAGAATGATTATTGTTGCTTCATCAATTGACGAATGACGTATGGAAGGATTCCACCATGGTCGAAATAGGCCAGCTCAACCTACAAAACAATTACATACGATTAGTATTCCATAATTTCCCGCTCAAGTACCCAAGCAAAATTATAACAAGCAAATCAAAATGAATAGATGTTATTAAGCACCTCTGTGTCGAAGCGGAGGGTGCAAACAAACGACTTTCCATTGTCAGTTTTAACTGTGACATCTTGTCCTGGTCTAATCTCGCTAACTTTAGAAGGAAGGTCAATTGTGTATCTCTCATGACCAGTTAGCCCTAATGTTTCGGCATCCTCGCCAGCCTTGAAGCATAGCGGGATAACTCCCATACCTACAAGATTACTACGGTGGATCCTCTCAAAACTCTTAGAGATCACAGCTTTCACGCCCTGTCACATCAAATAATTTATTTCCATTATTAAGCAACAATTTCATAAAAACACGAGCAAAAGAATTCATACACCATTTAACACTTACCTGCAACATTGGACCTTTAGCAGCCCAATCCCTTGAACTACCACTTCCATACTCAGCACCAGCTAGGACAATGGTGTCATGACCAGCCTCCTTGTACCTCTGCAATTGAGATTGAGATTAACTTTACACATCTCATGCAATTAGCTTCAATTACTAGGCACTAGCAAAATGGAAGATTCACCATAAATGTCAAAAGCAAAAAATAAAGAGTTAGTTTTTACCATTGCAGCATCAAAAACATACAACTTCTCCCCAGTTGGAATGTGAATTGTTTTTGGACCCACTTCTCCATTCAAAAGCTTGTTTACAATGCGAATGTTTGCGAAGGTACCCCTTGCCATCACTTCGTCATTGCCTCTACGGCTACCATATGAGTTGAAATCTTTGCGATCAACCCCACGTTCTAGTAAAAACTTGGCTGCAGGACTATCCTTGTGGATGCTCCCTGCTGGTGAGATATGATCGGTAGTGATACTGTCGCCGAAATTAAGAAGACAATAGGCATCCTTTACTCCAAAAGGTCCAGGTGGATTCAAGCTCATATTCTTGAAATATGGGGGTTCATGTATATATGTGGAGTTTGGGTCCCACTTGTAGAGGGTGCCAGCAGGAACTTCAAGAGAATTCCACATTGGGTTCCCCTTAGTGATAGCTTCATAGGTACTTTTGAACATGTCGGGCAATACACTTGATTGCACAACCTAAATCAGCATATAGAGCATTAAAATTCATTGCCCATCACAAAAAGAATGCATACAGAGAGCCTATTACAAAGGTCATATATACCTGAGCTATCTCATCATTGCTAGGCCAAATGTCTCTGAAGTAAACACTCTTTCCATCCTTTCCAGTACCAATAGGATCTTTATCAAAGTCAATATCAACCTATAAAATGCAAGATTGATTGGGTCAATCAATACTTTCAACTGCTATCCCCTTCAATAAAATAAACATCTGAAGATGAAAGAAAAGACCAAAAGAAAATGGTACTGAGAAAAATAGTGAATTCTGTGTTTATTGGCTCAGCCCCTGATAAAATGAATTATTGATCATAATTTATTTCACTGTGCATAGACCACACATGGCACAGATATGTGGAAGACATCCAGAAGATAAAAATTATAATGATAACTTTTTTTTAAAAAAAATTAAAAAGCATGTAGCTAAGCTCATTTTTCCAGGATATGTATTATGTAACACATGACCCAGGCAGGACAGTAAAGATGCATGGGTTACTAGTATACACAAGCACCAGACAAGGTTGCCTTACGAAGTGCAAACCCCTGACAACAGTGACAGCTAGATTCATACCAATTCTACATCAGTTGCCCACAAAACCCCTAGAATCAAGGCACTAAAACACTCATAGGAGCAATATCCTTCCACAAAAAATTCTGGACACATCATTTTAATTCAATTCACCCAAGGATGTATCCAGATTGCAAAACAAGTCAAACTTTATTTAGCTCTAAACCCTACAGAGTTCTAGGGTTGTTCATCACATTCACCATTCCAGACGCATCATTACAATCTGATTCACCCAAGGTTGTATCCAGATTACAAGTAAAATGTTCTCTCTCTCTCTCTCTCTCTCTCTCTCTCTCTCTCTCTCTCTCTCTCTCTCTATATATATATATATATATATATATTATATATATATATATATTATATATATATATATATATATATATATATATTCCTTCAGGGTTCTAGGGTTGTTCCTCGCATTCACCCATTTGTAACAGATCGAGTCCGCTAACAGAACAACTTAGAACAAACATAGCATCCTACCCTTGTTCATTAATACTAAAGTTTGAATCCTCATGGCCTATCAAAACAGTTTCTTTTAAATACTTACAGACTCGATATTAAAACTCCAACAGAGCTAGAATTATCTAAATGATGCAGTTCCATGATCTATCAAACTTCCTCGAGGTATTATTGCATTATCAAATACACAACTGATAATTAGACAACCTTTAGATACCATAAACAATCAGAGCTCAAACCTGCATCTGTATCAAGGTCTATATTTTGAGTATCATATACACCATTAAATATATTATACTGTGCTTATCAGAAATCAGTAGGTAATTATGTGTACTTACAGTTCCAGCCAATGCATAAGCAACAACCAATGGAGGAGAAGCAAGATAGTTGGCTCGTGTCAGAGGGTGAACACGACCTTCAAAATTACGGTTACCAGAAAGCACAGCTGCTGCAACAATATCTGCATAAAGAAACCAGGCATACCACATTAGATTATAAGAATGTCTTAGCACAAAAGTACACCTAATATGAGCATTCATGTTACAACCCAGGTTAAATAAATGTCAGTCACTGAATTTCAAGTTTTACACATTTTTACATTTTAAAGAGCTAGTCTTATGTGGCTCTGCGCATTTCAGGGTAACCACACAAGCAGACTTGTAGCAAAATTCAGGAAATATAAAATCAACTGTGATATGAACCACGATACAGAGACTGAACTACATTTGGAAAATTTCATCAAAAAGGTTTACACTAAAATGTAGCATTACAGACAAAGCTAAAGCATAAATTTACATTTAAACCAAGAACGTACCATTTTCAGAAATAGCGGCAGAAACAGATTCATCTAGATCACCAGAGTTTCCAATACAAGTTGTGCAACCATAACCGACAATGTTGAAGCCCTGTTGATCCAAGTACTTCTGCAGACCACTATATAAAACACAAACCAAAAAATAATAATGACCCATAAACATCCATTTTGATTAACTTAATTAAAAATTTATGTCATCAATAAATAACAAAAACCATTACCTCTTTTTCAGATATTTTGTAACTACACCAGATCCAGGAGCAAGACTGGTTTTAACCCAGGGCTTGACCTGTTAAAAAAACCATCAAATAATTGGCTTTTGGATAAATGAAAAAAAAAAAAGCCAAATAGTATCAAAAAAAATTGCCAAACAAAGCAAAATAATGTACATTATCCCCCACCCTCTCTAGAGGAGGAACTGAATGAGGAACTTTAACTTGAATAGAAAGATTAGTAACAAATTCAGAAACAAAAACCGGACAACACAAACATCCAACAAAATAAATCAAGGTTTTGGCCATAAATAAACTAGATAAATGGTTTTACTACTTATCACCATAAGTCAATTACTTTTCCCTATCAGAATAATTTATGTGATAAGTTATAGCTGCAAACAAGAAAACATCGGATACAAAGCTTATTACTAGGCCCTCTAATAAATTTAATTTACTTAACCAACTAAAACAAACCATCATGCAGAACCTAGTTGTACACTTGTTTTTAATTCTAAAAAAACAAAAGCCATATACAAGCAGAATAGTAAGTGCAAGAAATCAGAATTGGTGAAAAAAAAAAAACAATACTAGAACCACCAATCCTGTTCACAACAGTTTATACTTACTGCATTGGTAAACATTAAACAAGTACTTGTGTAATCTAATGTCATACAAAAATAAACAAGTTTTATTTAATAAAAGAAGTATCACTCAAAGAACTTGTTCAATTAATATAAATGACCATCTTTCAAATGCCATTGAACCAAGGAATATAAACAAACCTATCACAAATATGTGGATACATCATCATTAGGATAATAAAGGTACATAGCCAATCCCTGTCACACAGAGGTAAAGCATCATCTTTAAAGTCAAATCTACTGACCTCCAAACCCAACTCAGTAGCTTTCTTTGCGACCAAAGCAGCACCCAACATAACACTTGGGTTTGATGTGTTAGTGCAACTTGTTATAGCTGCTATGACAACACTACCATGCTTCAATTCAGCAGGCTGGCCATGGAATGAAAATTTAGCAACTTTATCCTGCTCTTCTTTGGGAATAGCAAAACCCTACAAAATAACAATGTAATTAGGAATACTTGAACACCAAAATAATGTCCATAACAATCAATATGTATTGTGTAAATCAGAGTGGAGTAGTGA